AATAGGGCAGCAGCAGGAGCTGGTTTCCTGTGTTTTCATTCTCCAGCCTGTCCACCGCGGATGGCGGTACCTGACCTGCCCCAGTAAACCAGCTCCAGACACTGGGACCACAAACAGCACTGCTTGAGCCTGTCTGTGGCCTGGGGTGTTGGGGTAAGTCTGCTGTTTTCCCTGTCTTGGCGTGGGGGGCCTTTCCTCTGCCTCAGGCTGTGCTGATAACGTGCTGCTGCCGGGGGGTGCCTGGGAGACTGATGGTGGGGGCTCCTTGTAGGCCGTTTGATGTGAAGAGGGATGGCTCCGAGGCTTAGAAAATAGGGGTGTAGCCTTTGGAGAAGTTGTTTGTGAGTCTTTCTGTCATATACTGCAGGCAGGATCCTGGAGCTTTAAGGTCTGATCTTGCAAACAGACAGGAAAGCTCTTTCCATTGGGTGCAGCTGAATAGCCCTGCTGCTGCCTGGGCTGGCTTTGCCTTCCCTGGCGCGCTCATGCTGCAGTGTCTGCTCACGATGACTCCTCTGTGGTCAGCCTTTGACTCTTGCACACTTCAGCAGAGCCAGCACAAGGTACGTGCTGCTCTGGAGCTGGCCTCGGTCTCCACTGAAGCCTCTGGTCTCTAGCAGACCATAGGCCATGGCTTTAAGGATTAGGATTCCTCTGGGCATGGGCCACCACTGGGCTGGTGCTTCCTTAGCGCCCTGCTGGCGACTGGTCATGCGAAGAGATGCTTTTCCAAGGAGAAAAATAGGAGCTGGGAAGGAGCTAAGACTGGGATAGCTGAGGCTGCTGTAGAGATGGCTGGTGAGGGAGAAGGGCCAGGACTGGGCAGGGAATGATTAGCTGAAGTTTTGGAGGACAGAGATAGAAACAGTGTTCAGGCTGGAACAAGCAGTGGTGAGCTGCTCACAATGTAACTACCCCAGAGCGGGGTAAAGGCTAGCCTTGAGGCAGATAAAAGCTCTGTTGTGTGCACAGCCTTATCTTGGGCCCTGCTTCTGCTCCACATTCTTGGAATTACTGCAGTGCTTGTCTGGATGGGACCATGGCCACAGACCACAGCACCTTTGATGCTTGTCCACACAACCTTTCATCTCTGGGTGCTGTGGGCAGGGAGGCGACTCTTCTACGAACACTGTCCGCTGGAGCACTGGCCTTGAGCACCTCTTTGCTCGGTGGCATGCGGCTCCTCAGGAGGACATGGTCCTGCCTCACCCAGCACAGCAGGCAACCCACTGCCAGTGCTTCATGAGCTGAGGAGAAAAGGTGCTGTAGGTGTTCCCATAAACCACAGAGGAGTGGAACAACCTCGTTTGCTGCTCTCCCTCACGCACAAGGCTTCACCAGAGCATGTCAGTGCTCTTTCAGTTGGGAAGTTCTCAGCCCTGCAGCTCCCTGGCCTGTGTGCCAGGGTGGGAGCATCATCTGTGGGTCTGCACACAACACAGCTGGTGCCTGTGTATCTGCCTCTAGCAGGAGCCAACAGAAGTAAAACCAGGAAAGACCAGACACAGATGGCTTTAAAACAAAGACCAGTGTATTTTCACTAGACTACTGGATACAGAGGATGCCTGGAGGATGAAAGGTCAGTCTCAACAGCAAATACAAATATATTTTATTTAGACAAAACTTCTCACAAAGGATAGACACACTTACTTTGCGATACTACTGTGCAAAACCTGAAGTGTAATGCACAGGCAGCCCCATCCCTATTTTCCCAACCCATTTCTTTGTGTATTTAAACCCAGGAAGACACCAGCCAGTTTAAAAACCAGAACTGCAGGAAGGCCCAGTGACAACCAAGTGCAAACAAAGCAAAGCGAGTTCACCAAAGGTTTCACTTTGCAGTGAGTACACGTTCTGAGTTTTGACTGAAAGGCAGACACATCCCTTTTCAGCCTCTCCTTACAGAGAAACTGGTAGGACTGTTGTTTTTGCTTTTACAGTGGGGGGGGAAAAGGCAACACAGAGCAAGCACTTGGAGAGCAAGAGATTCATTCAAAAATCCCCTTTAAGTATGACAAGAAACTGGCCATGATTGAGACAAAATGGAAAGGGTTTTTTCTCTCACTTTGGTGCAAGTTTATTTATTTTGTACACTATCCATCCATACACCTGTGATACAAATTCTATGAACCTGCCACAAAGCATTGAAGCACAACATACCTAATTATTCTGTAGACACCTGCATCTTTAATCATCATCCAGCCTACATGGATCAGCAGTGATTCAACACAGGAACTTACAGCTTTGTAAAAATGCAGATGCCTGATAACCGTACACACACAGGGGAGGGGAGAGCAAAATGTTCACTTTTAGGGAACATGGCTCAAATCTTCAGGTTAAAAACCCACTAATTGTGTCCCTGGAAGAGCTGGCTGCAGGGGGTGTGTGGTGTGTGTCTGTAAAGGGCCTTGTAAACTCATCTGATATAGTACAACCTAAGCCTGTAGGCTTTTGCTCTGTGGAGGTCAGGCTATAGGAGGACTCGCTGTCTCTTGCATTTACTTTATCTTGCAGCATAGCGCCGGAGGCTGTTGGCAGATTTGACAAACTTACTGGAGTACCTGGAGTGCTGTACACGGGTGAGGGGAATGCTCTGCACCCTCAGCTGTATTGATAATAATAGGGCTTTTCCAGCTAGGAAGTTTTCCAACCAGTGATTGAAAACAGCTACACTTCTGAGCCATGAAACGTGGCTTAATTAAAACAACCTATCAGTAAATGCAGCCACAACAGGAAGTTTATGCAGCCGGAAACACAAAACACAAAGACAATGCTATTTGTTCCACAGTTCTGAGGCTAGAAAACCTGTTAACTTTGAAAGCCCTAGAAAAATGCTGCACTGGTTTAGAAACCATCTACTTGGCATAGGACCACATTTGTTTTTTGCACACAAACATTTCCTCATCTCCCCATTCCCACTTTAAGCGTTCTGCATCTCTTTGCCAATCTTGTAGCTGAGGATTTTGTTCCAGTCGATCTTGGTGCGGGTGACAGGAAGCTGCCGGCGCAAGGCTTTGAAAGTGGTGTCTGACATCGTCTGGTAGTTTTCACTGATTGCTGTCTGCAAGGGCAAGTAGTTCAGTGACAGCAGCAGTAGGATACTCTGAGAAAGCATGACTGTAAAGGCCACAACCCTTTTCTATGAGGTGAAGACATGCTATTAACTACACAAACAGCAGTCACCAGTGTGTGTAAATAAAAGGGTCTCTATAAGCTCCCCTTATAAACCTAACAGTGTCTCCTGTGGTGTTTTACTGACTTACCTGTACTGAGTCTCTTTATACACAGGCTGGGACAATAGAAAAAGCTGTGACACAAATTTCCTCTTCAGTATTTTTAACTATCCCAGAGGAAGGTTCTTAGACTCACCCATTCCTCTTCCTTGCTTGTTCAGGCAGCATTTGTAGCCACTTTAAATAACCCTACAGCAAACCTGATTCTTAATCACAAATAGCTTTACAATTTTACTCTTTAAACAAATACTACTGCCCTTTCCTAAGTAATTCTTACAGTCAACACCAGATTCAGCCAGCGACAGAATTAAAGGTCAGTTTTCCTTGTTTCCATTAGCTGTAAATGGAGACTGACATGACTCCATCATTTCGGAGGGTGGGCATTGGAACTAGATGATCTTTAAGGTCCCTTCCAACCTAAGTCATTCTGTGACTCCATGATGCTTATTTAACCACCACCAGTCTTACCTGGTACTCGTTCTCTGCATTTTCTATTATCTTAATAAATTCCTTGGCTGTCTGGACATCACTCTACAAAGGGGAAAAAGAAATTTCTACGTGTAAGAGCAGCTTACAAAAGCTACATGATACATTTCTTCTCAAATGATAGGCTGAGTATAGATGGGTAACTTCAGTAGCTTCTGCCTCATGTTGAGGTTCAAGACAGAGATGGGTATTGGCTAGAGCTTGTGCTCCAAACTGGAGCAGGAATCCACCCTAGCGAGCAAAAGGGAATCTTCATGGCATAGATTAGGGATTCTGGGACTCTGGCTCCCCCCACTGTACTAAGGACTTATTTTTTCCCTTAGTATACTGCTCTTACTGTTCAAAGACAGTTGCACTTAGACAGAAAAGCATATTTTGCTCTCTTGAACTGAATCTTGTAGGATAAGCTTTCCAATAGAGACTCCTAATACAGTCTAACTTCAAGCAATTGAGAATCTGGGTTTTCCATGTGACTCTAAACCCTACAACTATGCTGACCAGTCACCCTAAAATTGTATTACTTTCACGTCAAGAGAATATAGTCATGAGGTGTTTAAGGAATAAAATAGTTGCTTTATCATAAACTCAATCTTTTATCATACTTACTGAAACCTGTACGGAGTCCTGGATATCTTTATGACTAACCAGTTGAACATTGCCATCTTCGTAATAGTGAACCTGAACAGAGAAACAAAATGCAGGTTACCATTAACACTCATTTTGCAAGCCCTAGAGCCCCCAGTGCTACCAGAATGGCTCAACAGCATCGTTGTGCCAGTCTTCTCTGCTTATGTGGAGACTTAAAAGCAGGATGGATTTTCTAAAAGGTTTCATTCTTTGTCAAGACTGTTCAAGATTATGTTAATGCAATAAATGCCTAGAGTTGAAATAAGAGCAATTCTAAAAGAATTCATGGTATAGGTTTTAGCCCTATAGGGCTTTATAAAGTGAAGCAGAGTTGGAGGCCTATAGGGTAAGGCTATATAATAAACTACAGGCCAGATTGTAGATGATGTCTGAAACACTAGATTTAACTTCTTGAATTGTATAGTGTAATAGCATCTTGACTTGAGAAGGACATCTTGGCTGCGCTTCAGCATCTCATTCTGAGTCAAATGCATGTGTAAGGGAAGCAGGATGCAGCTTTTCTCTGTTACTACCACAAAAAGTAACTCGCCTGGATTTTGAGCACTGCAGCCACTTGAGCCATTGGTGGTGTGATGGTAAACTTCCATTCTGATCTCCAACGACCGTTCCTAAACACAAGCAAAGCATGAAAAACATTTCCAAAAAGCTCAAACAACAAAAAGAACCAAAGTAACCAGAGCAAGTTGTTTCTGCTGTCAGCTTATGACCAATGCTACAGTGCCTTACATGGCATTGAATTAAGTTTCTGAAACACAGCTGAATCCCATGCAGCTTCAGCACAGACTAGCTCTGGTGTACTTGTGCTCTGGAATAGGTAAGGGGGTATCTGTCTGGCTCTGCTTTAGCAGACCTTTCTCTCTGGATGGGTCACTGAAGGATTTAGGGAAATGCCAAGAGGGCTGCAAGGTAAAGAGACTACAGAATGAGAAAAGAACTTCTTGGGAAGCCCAAGACTATTTGTTCTTCAGACTGTGTCAGAAAATATAGAGGATGGGTTTGTTTGAGGACTAGTATAGGAAGAAAATACACTACATTGAAGTAGACTTACCAGAAGTTTTTAGGCTGGAACTGGTGGCTCTCAATACAGGCAATAATTGTCTGCTGTCCATCTATAGATTTACCATAAACCTGTGTTTAGAAAAAGAGTTAAAAAGGCCCAGGAGCAGAGGAAAGCCATTCTTAATTCCTGTTCTTGGCAGCATTGTGGAGGCTTGCTACTGTGGTACTGCACTGGGAACATGTACCACTAATAACAATGTACACCACCTCCACATGTGCAAATAATGCCTCCTCTTACTTAACCATAGGCATTCAGGTGGTTGGCAGTCATGACTATGAGAAAGGAGAACTAATACTGCATGCAACCAAAATATTTGCACCCTCTTTGGAACTTGTTATTCCAAAGTTGGTGAAAACACTCGTGAGGCTGCAGAATTCCAACAGCACTGCCCAGCACAAAGCACCTGACATGGAGCAATGAACTTGCAGAGAAAGATGGGATACTCAACAGTACAGAAGCCATTGGGGTAATGATCTTTCACATAAGCTCTCAATGCACTGTCACAGGCATCTCTCCATTGCTTTAAAGCCGATTCTGTGTCCTCAGGCTGGGGGTCACTTGCTTCTTTCCTTAGATGATCAAACTTAAAAGAAAGCTTGTTTCTTGGGTCTAAAAACCTGCCATTGCCCAGATCACCATGTTCTGTGATTAAGACCTGTAAAAGAAGTTGAAATTAAGATATACTTATGCTGCTGTACATGTGTTGCTTAGTGTTTTTCCCTATCAGAATAGATATCAATGTTTCAATAGATTCTTTCTTTGAGCTATACTACATAAAGAAACAAGGATTTTCAGTAATAGTTTCAACTAAGAGTAGCTTAGTGAGGCTCGAGTTAAACTCTGCTCTTCACAGTAATACTGCACTTAAGTCTTCTGTCCCAGAAATGGCTATATTATAATAATGTATGAGTTTAGCCTAAAGTTGGGCATCCTTACAATACAAACAGGTGGCTTTGCTCTTGAAGTTATTTTTGCTGTTTTCCTTTCTCATTTCTTAAGGAAACAAAAAATTTTCCTCTGGGATTTACCATTTATTGTCACGTTCCATGTTGCAATAGCTCTCCTTCTGGTCAAGAAGGGTATAGAGGTGTGGCTATTTCTAATATACACCAACTAAAGTACACAGCAAAATAGCACCGTACTTCCCCTCTCCGTTGTCTTATTCACCATAATTCTCTGCCTTCCCAAATATTGACTTCTGTTTTGTCTGTAACTTTCTCTTGTCAAAGATATTTCTATGGACAGCCCTCTTAAAAATACCTGCCTCCCAGGAACATACCTGGGAGAGCAGGAAAGCTAGGGCAGTAGCTGGCTTGATGAACTGACCAGACATATTTTGTAGAGTAGCTGGGAATGGGTTAAACATGCAGAAAATGGATCTATTACTCCTTGTCAGTAGGAGCTGTAAGCAGGCAGCAACATAAGGTTTTGTAAGTGAGCTTTAAATAAACAATCTTTAACTGTTCATACTCTTTATTTCATAGAATTCAGCAAGGAGCTTTACTTAAGGGACAATGAATTAGAGTTACTGGGTAGTATCAGACAATGCTTTAGAAGAACATCTCACTTATGCTGCTTCTGTAAGAACAAAAGGTTGGTAATAGAACAATGTGGGGGGGAGGAGGGGAGGTGGTAACTTCTGAGTAGTATGAAGCTAGCCAACATCTTAATGAAACAACATTTTTATTGGGTTTGCACAGTGTAGTAATACAAACCTCAGCTGTAGAGTCTTCCCTTACCTGATCATCATACCCTTCTATCTTCACCGGAGTGAACTGATCCATGTTATACTGTGCAAATGCACTGTAAGAATTAAAAGAACATGAACTTTAGCTGTACACACACATTTATTTGACTACAGTTAAATGTACAACCAAAAGTAGTTCATGGTATGATTTACATTATAGAAAATTTCAACTTAACTTCACAAATAATACATGCAAGTACTTTAAAGGGATTTTTCAATACCTTTTATTAAAGACAGCTATAACACCCCAGGTCTTAAGCCAGGTTTATTTTAGGGATGATCAGGAAAGAACAGAGTTCAAAAGTGGAACATCAGGCAGCCTAGGGGAATATGAGCCAGCCAAAACAGGAACACCCCAGCTCCCATTCAGACAGCACCAAGGTAAGCAAATGAGTAGACTAATATTCACAACAATCTTCTTATGCAAAGACCTGCTGAGTGACATGTCACGTAGCTTGCAATAAGATCTTAGCATCAAAAAGCTTGTGGGCAATAATCTTTAAACACCTTCTGATGACACTGTGTAAGTAAACAAGGTATTTTGAAAGCTTTTCTTTTTAGGGCAGTTCTTTTTCTAAACCTCGGCTAAGGATTACTCAGTATTTCAGGCTTCACTTGCTTTCCAAATCATGCTTCAGCAAGATCAGACATTACTGCTGCTGCAGAGTTAAAACTTCTTGGCAGAGTGCCTTCCTGTCAGTTTTATATGGCCTCTACAGCACAAATTCTAATTTAGGACTTTAAAAAGAATCAGTCATGCCTTTCATTATGTATTTTGTTGGGAGGATAAGGAACTATAGAAGATTGCTCTCAATACAACAAATAGATGGCTTTGTCACAGAGTGATGGATGTAAGAAAACATGCATCTCTGATGGTAGTTTGACTTGTGTTTGAAATATTAGTACTTACTGTGCTGCTCCTTCCCTGAGAAGATTGTCATTGCTGAGCAGTAACCGGACATCTGGAGAACAGAGAGTTCAGGTTATTGGGGTTTTAATCAAATGTTTCTCTTTATGCATTTCATTTCCAACTGTGCAAGTACAAACATTAAAATGATTACACCATTTCATTGAGCATGTGTCGTCACAGAATGACAGCATGCATTTCCCTCACCACTTCTTAACCTTAAAAGCACTATATTGTGACAGAGCCTTAGACTCTTATAATACATGAAATGTGAAGAAAACTCCACCAATCACTTTACCTTCTTTACTTACCATTGAACACTTCATTGAATTCCCCAGGGGGTGCATGAGTGATGAATTTTGCAGCTATACGCACCTACAGAGCACAAAAGGACAGAAGATAATTTATTGAGTTCATACATACTACAACCTACACTGAATTCACCATCAAAATCAACTCTGACAGTGACAGAAGTGCCAGATGCAGGGAAAAATTTAGGTATGCATTGTTAAAGTAGAAAGAGTCTTTCAAAACTAGATTTTTAGTGTAATGTAGCAGAATAATTCCAAATGTACTCAGGAAGAAGCTCAGGGCACCTGTGAACTGTAATCAGACAGCTAAATGGCAAGGTATACAAAGAATAAGAAACCACTGCAGTAAAAGTGTCATTGTAACTAGATGATAACCTACAGCTCAACCACAGAACTAAGGAGTGTTTGACACATCATAGAATCACAAAGTGGTTTGTGTTGGAAGGGACCTTCAAGCTCATCCAGCTCCAACCCCTGCCATGGGCAGTGACACCTTCCACTAGAGCAGGTTACTCCAAGCCCCTGTTTCCAACCTGGCCTTGAACACTGCCAGGGATGGGGCAGCCACAGCTTCTCTGGGCACCCTGTGCCAGTCTCAGCACCCTCACAGGGAAGAGCTTCTGCCTCAGAGCTCACCTCAATCTCCCCTCTGGCAGGTTAAAGCCATTCTCCCTTGTCCTGTCCCTACAGGCCCTTGTTCAAAGCCCCTATCCAGGTTTCTTGTAGCCCCTTTAGGCACTGGAGCTGCTCTAAGGTGTCCCCTTCAGGAGCCTTCTCTTCTCCAGCTGCCCCAGCCCAGCTCTCTCAGCCTGGCTCCAGAGCAGAGCTGCTCCAGCCCTTGCAGCAGCTCGTAGCCTCCTCTGGACTCACTCCAACAGGCCCATGTTCTTCTTATGCTGGGGGCCCAAGAGCTGGACTCAGGTCTGCAGGTGGGTGTCACCAGAGCGGAGCAGAATCCCCTCCCTTGACCTGCTGTTCATGCTCTGGGGATGCAGCCCACATCAGGGTGGGTTTTTTTGGCTAGAAGTACTTGCTGCTGGGTCATGGGGAGCTTCTCATCATCCCCAAGTCCTTTTTCTCAGGGCTGTCTCAATCTGGTCTCCACGCAGCCTGTATTTCTGCTTGGGACTGCCCCAACCCATGTGCAGCACCTTGCACTTTATATTGCAGAACACTGTGATTCCCTGTGATGCAACTTGTTTGTGCTGATGACTGGCTGAACGAGATGCCACAGCTTCACAGCAAACAGCGTGTGAAGTAGCAGAGGTTGATCCCTCTAGAAATGGAGCAGTAAATCAATTACATCAGCTGCCATGGCACTGCTTCCAGAGCTAATTATGCCCCATGGACTTTGAAAGGCCACTGATGTGCTCAGCATGCAGAAGGTGCTACGGAGATACAAGGTAAAAAGCTGGGAACTGACAGAAATGGGTGAGGAAAAGTGCCAAAATGAACCAGAGGAGTCAGACAGAGCCTCCAAGTGAAAGCATTCAAATTTCAGGAGGTGTTGGGGTTGTTCTTTGTGATCCTTTAATGCTGCCCTGGTCACTCCTAACCCTGAGCAGCAGACATACCACTTGGGCCATTCTGTGGCATGTTACTCCTCCCATCTTGTAGTGTTTTCTTGGCAACTCTACTGTAGCCCAGCCTTGAAGTGTCAGAGTAGTGGAAGAACTCAAGGATGTGAAGCTGTGAGTGATATAATAAATAAGTGAAAAGGCCAAATGTAAAGAAAACACCTGAATGTCTGCAACCTTTGAAGCTGGAACAGAAAACCCCCATTCTCTTCCAAAAAGTAATAAACCTCCACTGTGCTCTGGAACCCAGTATACGTGTCTTGCACTGATAGAATTTAGGTGGTCTAGGAATTGATTCTGCTGAAACTAGTAAGAGTTTATGGTTTTCATAATCAAATCTTTTATGGTTTTTACAGGCCCAAAGGGAATAGACTCATCTTGGAACACTTGAAACAGGAAAAGTCACAAAATTAAAACTCTCCCTTGGAATAATAAAAGTCACATTTCTTGCAGGAAGCACAGCTAAGCAGCTGGGCAATGAGCCCTCCTGCCTCAGCCATTTATTGAAGGTGACTGCAGAACACTGCTCATTACAACTCTGGTTACTTTTTCTACTGTTCATTCTGAGCAGTAAACCAAAGGAGTGTGCATAAATCCACCCCCTTCAGCTGAATTGTGCCAGAGCTGGACATAACTTGCTTCTCTCAACTGTACTCCCTGGTTTAATTCTAAATTGTTGTTTGTATTGTTTGTCCTGTAATAATTTAAAGCAAGCCATGAAAGGAAATAACTAACATCTTTCCAAACAAAGGGTACATTGCCTTATTCCAACAGTGTTGAGTAACAGCTCTGCCTTAACTGGACTGAGCATCTATTAAAAAAAATAATAAAAAATTTAGTCTTTATGCCTTAAGTAATTCTGCAATACAAATGAAACCCTAAAAAGTCAGTAACTTATGCCATTGCTGCAATACAGAATGGCAAAACACTTTCTCCTAGTTTTCTGCTTTTAGATAAGGTTTGTAAGTATCCAGCAATCCTAAAAATGTAGCTCTTGCTGTTTGAAAGTTTCCACTATCTACAGAACTGTAACAAGGAGAGACTGCTGCCATAGTCTTGTTACATTTCACCAGCAGATACTTGGAAGGTGATGAAGATAATGTGGAAGTAACTAAGGAGATGCTCCTGCTTTATATTGTCTGTGTCCTTTGCTGAGAGCCAGCCCGAAATGGCTGAAGGGCTTCTGAAATGACACCAGGTGCTTTTCTAAGAAAGCACAAGTGGAAGCACTAGTGCAGGTGTATCCCTGTGCTGAAGTGTGTGCTACAGCACTTCTGTGATGCCTGTCAGTGGGAGGATTGCACTAGAATACATCCTGCAAATCAACTCCCCAGATGAACAGATTCCCTTCTATGAGGTGCTTCAACATATGGAAAAATAAGGCCCCTAAAAAGCCATTAAATGTAGTGTCTTATGAATCTATGCATCAGTGCTGTGGCTGCAGAACTGTACAGTGTATGGAACCCTCATAAAAGGGACACTTTTAATAGGCTGACTTTTAGATCAATGGATTCTCATAAGCAGATCCTTGTGGGGGAAAAGCAAAACCAAAATAAATATTACAGGAGAGATTTTTACAGTCTTCCACAAATTCTTTTTCCTTGGAAGGATGAACAAAATTAACTCAACACAGAAAGGAGTCTGCATTTCAATCAAATGCTATCACAAAACCAGCCATCAACAAAGAAAATGCTGCAAGTGAATGGTGTTCACTTTTCCAAGGGATCCCTGGCTCTGCCTCTTGTGTGGAGTAATAAAATCACACAATCCTGGAATGGTTTGGGTTGGAAGGGACCTTAAACTCATCCAGTTCCAACCCCCTGCCACGGGCAGGACCACCTTCCACTAGAGCAAGTTGCTCCAAGCCCCATCCAACCTTAAATACAAAGCATTTAAATGAAACTATTGAAGTCAGGAGTGGAGTGCAGGAAACAGGCTGCGGAGCAATTAATTCTAAATGTCAAGCATTTGAATTGCACTTGGTTTTGAGACTTGTTTTGTTTCAAAGTGGTGTCAGCACAGTGGCAGGATGTTCATTTGCAGAAGCACCAAAACAAGACTTTTGCAAGCTGACCTACTTCCTGGCCAGCGCTGCCATTTCGGGTGCTCTGCACCAGGCCAGCAGAACACGCTTCCTGCTGCTGAAATGGGGAAAGTGTCTGCGAGAAGCTGCCCAGCCACAGGCACAAGTGGCAAAACAGCAGCAGGAACAGCTTAAGTAGACAACAGGGTATGCTGCAGTAGACCTTACACTAAAATGAATCCCTTAGCTTACCTAAAATACAGAGAATAAAGAAGTGAGGCTTGGGAGGGGTGCAATGAATTGATTTTGTTTCTCTCTAGTGAAGCGCTGGTAAACTCAGGCTTAAAAAAGGAACTATGCAGAAAAGGTCCAGACCTATCTGAATGGTTATGAAATGGATCCTATAGTAGATCTGCATGCTGCTTTTTCAGATTCTCTATCCTTTTCTACCCATGCTAGGCATGGAGCTGCTTTAAATTGAATCTAGGCTGCCTGAGCCAGGACATGAAGTAGAATGCAGGCTCCGATTTCAAGTGAAATCCCATCTACTCTGCTGGATACAGTACTTGGGGTCACACAGTTCTGAAAAGGCTCTTTTTGAAGGATGACTCTTCCTGCAAGTGCTTTGAAAGAACTGCAAATTTCAGGTAAATGGAGCAGGAGGAAAAAACCCACCCAGCGACCCCAAGTTCTTGCAACAGTGGCTCTCATTCCCAGGCTAAATCCCTACCCTAGATGCAAGCTCCAGTTCTGTTTTAATTTTCACATCAGATGCAATGATGCCTTCAACTGTATCAGTTCAAATGAAATTCAGCCAATTGATGTCAGGGAAAATATTTTATACACCATTAGAGAGATTTCAGTTCTGTGCTAAAGGCCAGATGAATTCTGTTCTGGAATTCTTGTTCCAAACAATGCTCACACCACCTGAAACATTACCTAAAGGATGAGTTGCACCTTTAAAGCTCTATCTGCTTGATTCACAATGACTGTCACTGTAACGAAGCTGAAATTGGCAGTTTAAGGGGAAAAATGAAAGCAAGCTCCAGACTTGCAAGATCCTTGAAGATCCACAATACCTTCTCCAGAACATTAAGAAACAAAGCAAAAAGCTACATGTAATATTTTTATGATGTAAGGAAAAGCAACAGTGGGGGTTTTTTAACTACTGTTTGTAGGGAACTAGTGTTACTGGCAGAAAAGGCAAGTTTCGTTTGTTAAATGGCATCACAGTGCTTTTTTCCCCCACATTCCTATGCAAGAGGCTGAATCTGTTCATTTCTCCCTTCCCTAAAACTAATATTGCCCTGTTTGCTTCTGTTTATAGTCCTTTAGTGACATCGTTTAGTGGTGGACTTGGCAGACCTGGGGGAACGGTTGGACTTGACCTTAAAGCCCTTTTCCAAGCTGGTTGATTCTGTGATTCCATTCCATCCAGTATTAACTTGTAAGATCAACACCAAA